ACTATCAGCGTGCACGCAACTGCTGTAATCCTTCTGCAAACACAAAGGATTAAAATTGTTTTGAGATCTCTCAACGTGAACGTAGCAATAATTTACTACGTTCACCTTACGGGATCTCGGCAGGTGGTGGTTTAGGAAAAAAAACATGAAAGATTGTTTTAATTATAATGTACTGACCAGATGAAAATATCATATGACTATAAATGAAATATAAACAATGTAAACTGAAATGAATTGACTATTGAGTATTGTACGAAATGTGGGTTGCATAAATAACTTGATCAACAGTTTGATTTAGATATTAATATCAATATTATCGAAGAAAAAACAAAAGCAAAAGTCGATGTGGTAGTTCAATAACTAACTTGGACAACAATATAAAAGAAGTAGTTCACAAAAATTATGTACACCTCAAATATCAAAGCAATAGGATTGGTAGTTTTCAAGAAGAAATCGAAAATATCATTTTTACCAAAACAGTTGCAAAAAATATAGAATAATGATATCTTCACGAAGTGTACAAATCTGATAGTGGTCCACCCAAGGTACCTACATGTAACATATCAAAGCACACGGGCTGGTAGTTTTGAGGAAGAAGTCGAAACAGTAAGGAAGACGGACAGACAGACAACAGACGACGGCGGACATCTATGTGAGCAGCCCCCCCCCCCCCCCGGTCATCTACAATGACAGCAGAGCTTAGAACTACCCCGAGCTGGTGAATTAGGGTTGAAGTGGTAGTGCGTGGCAAAAAACATAACAATTGGTGGCACCCTTAAATTTAAATATAAAAAAAAAATATTGAGAAACTAATCGTCCATGGAACGTTGTGGGTAAATTATTGTTCCTTCGACCTCAGTGGAGAACACTGATTGCTGTCGGGTTGTGATTGCGTAACTATAGAGCAGTGATCGGACACAACTATAAACAGTGATTGGTTAATTAGTTCCCAGCAGAGGATAAATTGTGTTGACTGCTGCTGCAATGATGATTGTACGCGTTTCTGCCAAAAAACAACTTATAGGCAATGTTGTCACAGTAAATCAAGAGATCAGTGAGCTGGTCAGTTAGAAACATGCATTTTCGATTACCGCATGCTGGTTGGCAAAAATATAACCAATGACAGTATATATACTGTGGTTTTATTTGTTCACTTAATCGCCACCCAGCATGCGTATCCCTCGAGTCACGCCTATATTTTAGAAACCACTGTTACGGGCAATATACTTTAATAATCAGTTGACCCAACATCGAGTTATGGGCAACCTGGATTTTGTGTTTTGTTATGTTGCGCGTAAATCGAAGTTCAGTTAACTGTTAATTAAAGTTTGAGTTACTAAATATGGACGTTAAACAACAATAGCAATCTATGTTGCCCGTAACTCGAAGTTTGTTCAACTGTGAATTGAACATCGAGTTACAATTTGGGCGTGGTTTAAAAAATATGGGCGTGGTCCTTTCTGTAACTCGATATTCATAACTTGATGCCCATAACTCGAACAATTCAGCATCTCAATTGTATGTAACGTTGCTCACTAGTTGTTTTATATTTGCCATGTGCGTAGTTTTAGGGGGCTTCTCAAAATATGTGGACGTGAATAAAATAAACTACAAGGTAATCATAAATATCAGAAATGGATAGTTATGTCTTTAATCAGTCTTTTCAACTTTCTGGATAAGTGTATATGAATAAATTCAAACAAAAGAGAGACAACAAAAACTTTTCTTTACAAGGAAACAAAACTACCTGAAAGCTAACAATGACATGTCAAATTATTAAAAGTAGATTTTTTTCATTCAAAAGATATTGCAATGCAGATTGAAAAACTGATCGAGAGATCTAGGTTTACATGATCATTTTATTTTGGTGGCCGCTGTAATACACTGACTCGTACTATGTCAATAACGGTACTAAATCTACGCTGGAATTATATTTAGAAATGTGAAAATATTTACAGGCAGAATGTTTTTATTTTACGTATTAACTATATTTTGTCAAAATAATGAATACTGCTATGTTTATTGCGAAAACATGTTTCATGTTATAGTACTCATAACCTAATTTCAAGATGCAATATAAAAAATTAAAAAAAAAATCACGTGGTGATAAAATAGTCAAATTATCCACAAATTTAAAAATGCAATGAACAAGAAATGTTCAATTTTGTTTGTTTGAAATGCTGTTTGACAAAACATATATTTAATACGCATGCGCATTGGTTGTTTTGGATACGTACAATAACAATCACTGCACATGCGTGTCGTTTTTGATTTTTCATCTTTTTAAGTTCATTCTCATAATAAATAATTTATTATTTACAGATTGTGATGACATACAGAATAAAGTTGGACCCATCTCTGGTGTTTACCAGATACAACCAGAACGTGGGCTGAATACAAGGAAGGTTTTGGAAACACTGAAGGAGAATACTGGATCGGCAACAATATTATCCATCACTTGACAAATCAGGCTACGTATAAACTGAGAATTGACTTGAAAAAATGGTCTGGAATTACTTCGTACACAGACTATGATGTTTTCATGATTGAAAATGAAGATAATAACTACAAGTTGCATTTAGGAAAAAGCACAGGTCTTGCTGGTGACTCCTTGAACAATAACGAACAGCTGTTTTCAACCATAGATCGAGATAACAATAACTATTGCGCAAGAGATCATTTGGGCGGATGGTGGTATGATGATAATGACTGCAGACAAGCTAATTTAAACGGATTTTATTCAGATCCCATGGCCTCAAGGAACTGGGCCCTTATCACGTGGTACACATTCAACCTAGAGAGCCCATTGAAAGGAGTTACGATGAAAATACAGAAAAACATATAGCAATGATGATCACGTTTTAA